AGCTAATGAGCTTACAAATATAATCCTGATTATGAAAAATGTTATCCATTTTCCTGCAATTTCTTTCCTTCCAAACAAAATAAATAGTGCAACAATAATAGAGAAGAAAGAGATGTTTAGCTTCAACAATCAAATTAGAATTCCAAATAAAATAAAAAATTTGCAAAAGATTCAACCTAAGCATAAAGAAATTTAACCCAGACATAAAGATTATGTTAAAAGAAAAGTCACATTCAAAAAATAAATTATTATGACTTTCCAGCCCCATATTGCAAATGATGCAAGAACTAGGCATATTAATACTTCTCTTAATTAAAAGATCAACATCTTTCAAACCATTAAGCATAGTCATCCAATAAAAGCAAGAAAACCTAAGAGCATACCTTTTATGCCACACAAATTTAAACCAGTCCACCTGATGAAAATGATTAAATAACATAGAATAAAAATTCTTAAAAACAATAAAGGTCACCTTATCCCAAACAAAATAAGAAGTGCTTGAGTAAGAATCAGAATACTATAAAAAACCCGAGCAATGTCTTCTGGAATATATAAAGGAATATTCTAGCTATCATTAATAATCTAATCACCAACAGTCTTTGCCTTTAGGGAGCCTCAAAACCCATAAGAATTTCTTGAAGAGCTTTCCCATAAAGCCAAGGATCCCATAAGAGAGATAACGAACTATTGACAACCAAATTATAAGATATATCGCTTTTAATATCTCTAGCAATAAAACAAAGATCTTTCCAAAATTTTGAATCTTTTTTAGAGCAAGGCTTCCAACAAGAAATATATTTGATTTTAACCCAAACAGCAAGAGACTCTGTATTATTAACAATACGCCAAATAATAGAGCAATCATAAGTAAAACATAAAGCATTAAGATTAGGAATCCCTAAAACACCAAACTTTTTTGGTTTACAAACATCCTTCTAAGAAATCAGATGAATCTTCCTAATATTAACTTCACCAAAAAAATAAAAAAATTAGGGAAAGCACTTTTGAAAAATTTGAAACGAGCTTTAGATAAAGAAGCCCTCTAATCCAATACAAAATAATATTAGAGATAGTGAAATTAATATATTGAACCCACCTAGCAAAAGATAAAATTCTAGCTTTCCAACGAGCAAGAAGATCAATAATTTTATTCATCAACGACTGAAAATCAGAAATTAAATGTCTTTTACAGGAAATTAGTTAACCTAAATATTTCAAAGTGTCCTGGGAAATAGGGATTCCCAAAAGTTGACAATATCTTGAGCAATTAAACACCCTTTAGAAAAGATAATAGAACTTTTCTCTGGATTAACTTTCAGCCTAGAAACCTTATAAAAATAATCAAGAATCTCATTTAACTTTTCAACATTCAAAATAGAGGCTTTCCTGAAAATAAGAACATCATCCTCATATAATAAATTAGATATAGAGTGTTCACCAGCCATAAATCCCTCAAAGAAAACCTCTTGAGACTTATCCTCTGGAAGATTAGGAAAAACATCCATAATAATATAAAAAAGATAAGGGGAAAGAGGACAACCTTGACGTATCCCTGAAGAAAAACTAAATAAACCCTTTAGAGATCCATTTAGCCTATCAAAAAAAGGTATCATTAATGCACCCTTTAATCCAAGAAATAAAAACTTGCAGAAAACCTTTTTGAGCCATCATATTAAAAAGAAAATCTCTAGAAATAAAATCAAAAGCTTTATGAATATCCAATTTAGAGCAAAAATACTTATCTTTATTCTCACAATTAAACCCTCATTATAACTCAGCTGCCAAAATAATATTATTAGTAGAAATCCTCTTTTTGATAAAACCAGATTGACTATTGTGAATAATATATGGCATTATATTCTTCATCCTTAAAGCCAAGATTTTTGCAATAGTTTTATAAAAAAAATATTACAAAGAGAAATAGGCCAAAAATCAAAAACATGAGAAACATTAGCCTTCTTAGGAATAAGAGCAATTGCAGTAGCTTTAGCAGCTCTGGATAAATACCCAGTTTTAAAGAAATAAAAAGCAACTTGGCAAAAACTATGCTAAGAAATGTCCCAATTTTTTTTAAAGAAATCAAAAGTAAAACCATATGGACCTGGCGTAGAAGAAGCAGAGCCAGAGAAAACCACATTCTTAATTTCTATTATAGTCACCAGACCCATTAAAGAAGCCAAACTAGCTTCAGGAATTTTCTTTCCCATTAGTACGAAAAATCCAGAAGAAAAAACAGGCTTAGGATCATTAAAATGATTCTTAAAATGGGTAACAAAAACCTCAGTCAACTTATTTGGTTCATAAATAGCCTCATTATTAGAATATATAATCTTAATATGATTAAGATTTTACATACGCATGATTTTAGAATATAAAAAACTCAAATCATCTTTTCATTAGATAACCACAAAGCTTTTGCTCTTTGCACAATCCAAGAAGACCATAAAAACATATTAAAATTAAGCAGCCCATTAACTTCCTTAAGAGCCAAACTAAGTTTAACATTAGAAGGATTAGCTTGAATACCCAATAAAACTTCTTGTTGTTTCTTTTGCAGAGATAAAATATTTTTCCAAACATCATTAGAAGAAGCCCACTTTTGCTTTTAAATCTACCTTTTAGCTCCTGTAATTTATCATAAAAAACATTTATAGGATTACCAACTAGGGCTTTAGAAAAAGAGTGAATAAGAATATTCCAGAATTCATGTTTATTGCACCAGAAATTTTTATAAAGAAATCTCTTATTATCAAGAAATAAATGATAATTGCAAACAGTAAGACGATAATGATTAGAACAAATAGGATTCTCCACATGATAAAAAGAGTCAGTAAAAACATTTAACCAATTGCAATTGAGTAAAACCCTATCAAGTTTAATATGAATAGGGGAATCCACTTGCTGATTATACTAAGTAAAAAAATGCCCAACCGAAGAAAGTTCTTGAAGCCCAGTATTAAAGATGAAGTTATTGAAATCCTCTACTTTGGAATAATTAACTATATAACCACCATATTTCTCATTAGCAACCTAAAAAAATTAAAATTTCCTAAAATAATCCACGGGAAGAAATAATATTAGCTAAATTAAGAAGATCAGTCCATAGGAAAAGTCTATCCACAGCAGAATTAGTTGCATACACCACAGTAATAATAACCATAGTAGAAGAATCAACTTCAATCGAACTATGAATAAATTGACAAGAAAAAGTAATGCAGTTAAATTTAATATGAGAAGCATTCCATTTTAACCAAATTCTTCCAGGCAAAGAGCATGTAAAATTATGACAATCTCCTTCATGAGAAAAAAAAAATTATGTTTCACAACAAACCAAGGATCCAAGACCTGATCCAGATTAACCTTAGCTTTAAGAATACAAACAAGATCAACACCATATTTAGAAATAAGATTTTTGCAAGCAAGAACTTCATCCAAATTATGAAAACCTCTAACATTCCAAGAAGCAATATTAGGCATCAACATAACTATTTATTAGAAGTAAGTGCTACCTTTTTGGCAATTTTAGACCTTCTCAGTTTCCAGAACCTAAAGAAACCTTAGAAATAGGTTGATCTTTAACAGAAGAATTCAAAACTTCTAATCGATTATTATTGGAACTTACAAAAAAAATTTCAAGGTTACAAATTTGAGATCCAACAATATGATCCTTCAGCCCCTCCATAACCTAAAACTTATTAGCCACGTTAGTTTCCTTTAAAAAACTAACATTATTTGAAATATTCAAAAGCCGAGATAGGAAGCTGTGAAGAATCAGAAGTAGAGACTTCTGTAGGAGAATTAAGATTGACAAAACTTATATCAAACCAGTGGAATTAATATCTAAATTCTCTAAAATAACATTACCCGATATCAAAATATTTTCATGTTTCTCAGACAAAACCAAACCTTCTCTCGAAACAATCTGCTCTACAGGTGCCATAGAAAGATTAAGAGAATATGAAGAAATAATAGAATATGAACAAACCTGAATATTATAAATATTATGTTCAGAATTAAGATCCTTATTATTATTCGGTTGAGCAGATTTAGAAAACCTTGAAGTCTTCACCCATTTTCTAGTCCTACTACGCCCTCTATCTTTATCAACAACAAAATTTCCTTTCTCTTTACAAACAACAAAATTCTCTTTATCTTGAACTTGATTATTTTCTACCATATTCTAAGGATTGGATGGACAAAGAGAAACATAATGAACCAAAAAACAACATCCAGAACAAGGGAACGGTTTCCAGTCATAAACTACTTTCAGAGGTTAGATATGTCCCGTAATCAAAATATTCACTTCCTCCGGAAGAGAAGAATCTTTATTAATAAGAACACAAACTCTAGGAAAAGTAAGTTGTTTTTTCAGTCGTTAAAATATCAACAGAAACAGGGACTCCCACAAGACTAGCAACCTTCGAAATACCTTACGGCGTCTAGCAGACAAGAGCTAAATCCATAATTTTGATCCAGATCGGAATAGAGGTAAATTCCTCACTTTAGCCTAAATAAAGGTCACCATAACTACAAGATAAAAGGTTTACTAAAAAAGAACCATGACCCTCCAGACCAGATCATGTCAAAATCTTCAGAACAAGAAAATTTCATTAAGAAAAATCCTTCACTTAAAGCAATAAGAGTTAAATTCCCTTTCAACTTCCAAGTTTTAAGCATTACCGAATGTAATGCTTCAAAATAAGGTCTCTTGCCCAAAGAATAACCAACTAAGGTTAATCCCCATTTTTCTTAGACATTAGCGACATCAACCTCAAAAAATGAACAAAATTATCTAAAGATTTAACACAAAAAATAGAAAAAGATTTTGAAGAAGATTGACAAGATGTCAACACTCCATTTTAAGATTTCTTACAAAATCCCATATGAGAGATCTTGGGTTTTAACCATAGACAACGGTGGAATATCTTTATGAAAATTCATAATAATAATAAAAAAAAGAAACCCTAAGAAAAAAAAAAAAACAAACAGGGCATTTTTATTATTATAATAAAAGCGAGGGAGCAGTTTCCCGCACGAAAACAAACCAGCTGGCAGCACGCACCTTTTCTGTTCTCTGTTCTACTTCCATCGCGCACGCGATCGCAGTGGAGATATTCTAGGGTTTTCTTTCCTCTCGGGTCCGACAGTGTTAGGAGGGAGAGAGAGATGAGAAGGCACGGGCATCGGATCCCACTGGAGGTGATGGGATCTATGATAGAGGTGGCAAACGTGGCGTGGAACGCCCTCGAGCATCGCCAGGAGCGGAAAATCGTCAACGCGGAGGAAGAGGAGATTGCTCGCCTTCACTCTGAGAATCACCGCCTCAAGGCTCTTCTCGCTGAGAATGCCCCCCTTCTTCATGAAATTTCGCAAGTTCCTTCTCTCGTCAACGAATGCCCTTCCGATGTGATTCTCTTTTTCCTTCTTCACTGCGAAATCTTATGAATTTATGTTTATTAAGAGAACTACGATGAGGGATTTTCGTTCCTTGATATTTTTCTGACTTATTGGGGGCTGTTCGGTTCATTGTTCTTTGAAATGCATAAATTGCAGTGTCTCTATATTGTTGACCATTGCACCATCTTATAGGTGTCAGAAGCCCTGGAATTTATTTATCTATTCGAGTTGGGAGGCTTTCCCTATGTTAGAAAGCATGATGTTGGTCGGAATTATTTTTTGTGCGGTTGATGTTGTTACAGTGAAAGACCCAAATTACTTTTACTATTTTCAATATGCCTTTGGAAGCTCAGTAGCTGATTTTTTTTATTGCAAGCTATTAATCTAGTGCTAAATCTGGGAGAACATTAACACTTGTCAACTATATAGATTTGATTTAATTTATGTACTAATGTGGAAGCAATTGAGCTGGTATCTAGGTTCAAATATACATTCATTATGCTACATACTATGCATGTATACAGGTATGCCCAAATTTAAATGCTTAAGTACTCATTGGATTCCTGAATAAACAAGTACTTATTAGATTCCTGAATAGACAAGAAGTCCTGGAATTTATTTCTCTAATCGAGTTGGGAGGATTTCCCTATGTCAGAAAAGCATGATGTTGGTCGGGAGAGCTTTTTGTGTGGTTGATGTTCTGACAGTGAAAAACCCAAATTACTTTTACAGTTTTCAATTTGTTTGGAAGCTTGATAGCTGATTTTGGATTGCAAGGTTTTATTCTAGTACTAAATCTGGGAGAACCCTAGTACTTTTCAAGTGTAAAGATTTGATATAATTGATGTATTAACGTGGAAGCAATTGCGCTGGTATCTTGGTTCAAATATATATCCATTATGCTACACTATGTAGATATACAGGTATGCCCACAGATAAATGTTTCATTACTTATTAGATTACTGAATAGACGAGTAAAATAGGTATACAGGTATGCCCACAGATGAATTCTCAAGTACTTATTAGATTTCTGAGTAGGCAAGTAAACATATGTTTGCTGTTGTTCTTATTTTAGTTGGTTTGCTTTGTTGTTTCAGTGTAGCTTCTTACCTGAGTGAACTTTTTAAATTTATTTTGATAGTTGTAAAGATATTCTTTTTCATTGTTTTAAATGATTATTTTGGTTATAAGATGCCTATAGAAAATTTGCATTCTTATTCTTCGATGTGTCTGTTTAAAATTTAAAGAAACATTCCAATGCAAAGAATTAATCTTATTATAGAACTTAGTTAGAGGTACTTTCAAATGATAAACTGATTAAACTTGGTTGGGAATTATGAGGGATAAAATTTTTAAATTGGACATCTTTAAATATATGTTGTTATCCTATAATGAATACAATTTTATTTCATTTTTCAATGACAGTTATATTCACGACTTTTAGCTCTAGTGGAATCTCCAAACTTCTTGGAAACACTTGAATCGCTTAATAAAAAGCTTGCTACTGGATCAAATGCGACCTTGTCAAATTCCAAATATCCAGGTTTTTTTTTTGTTTAGTGTAGTTTTTAATTTCTTTTTTCAGTTCATTCTGATGCATGCGCGTGTCCTTGACGACTTTTCTATTATCCATTTTGATTTTACTACTGTTCTATGAGTAGATCAGAATGCACTAGATGTGTTGATTCATACTGAGGAAGAGGATTCTAGTTGCTGGTTCTTCGTTACACATGATATGGTCCCATGCAATTTGGAGGAAGTAAGTGGAATTGACAATGAAAATTATGTTATCATAACTGAGGAGAATGTGGTGGATGGCATCGCTAATTTCATGGCTAGATGCATACTTGAAAATCCAAGATCTAAGGTGTCATAAACGTCAACCTTTGATTGTGTTATTTGATTATATTCCAATTTCTAATTCTTTGCAATTCGGAAACTGCAGAGGATATCACCACAGGAGCTACAAAAAGGTAACCTATGCGCTTTATGCTATTCGCTTTATGCTATTCTAGAACCACAATTCATTCTACAATTTGGTGCATTGGTGTTTTCACATAACTAGTTTCACCTATGTTTTAATAAAATCATGATTTTGTTGAACTATGATCTTGCAGACATAGCGAATACTATTCTTTTAACTATTGTGTGTTTACAACGACGATTTTGAGTTGTAGCTAATACTATTATCTTCTAGTACTCTGTGATCAAATGCGGGCATTTTGAGCTACAGCTGCTAGTTTACCGTGGGATGGTAATGTTGCTGTTAGTTGTTTTAAGTTTTAAAACTTTGTTGTGAACTTGCTTCTTGTGCTTTGAGATTAACTTTTTTTTTTCCATTGACCCCACTATATAAAATTGGAATGGGCAAAGATCTACATTTGAGATTAACAATATGGAATGGAGTAGCTACTAAGGTATGGATATAGACAAAGGAGAAAACATCGGAGTGAAGAAAAAGGGGATAGACCTTAATGAATTGGCTATAAGACGTGAATGAAATAACTTGATTAAACTAGATTTAGTAACACATACTACGATTTGGGTAAGGCTGCTAGTAATGATGTTAATGAGTGTATTTTTTTATTTATAATGATGTTATGATTGCCAACAAGTTTTTTCTTTCATGTTCCACGGTCTTGTTTATGTTATTGGTTCTTTATTGTTATTATAGGTTAATGCAAGTATCAAGTTAAATTAGTTGTTATCTCCATTTACTTAGAAAATTGGTCCAATGGTTAGCTTGAATTCGCCAATTTTCTATAAAACTTGAATAATTTGGAAGGAACCTATAAACATGTGCAAACGGTTGTGGCTTTCACAATCTACTATTTTTGGTTGAATGCTATCTATATAGAAACTAACTCTTTGATAATGTAGCTGTCGGTAAAGCTTTGGGAGACATCAAAGGCAGGAATAAATTGAAGAGCTTGTGGGATGCTGGAATAGTTATCTACACCTTGTCAACTTGGGGCATATTTCTAACAGGGTAAGAAGATCTTCCATGCTCAACTCAATGTTCTTTGATTTTCTCTTAAAATTGGTAAAGTTATGTGACGCCCTATTTGTTTAGTCCAAATTCGATCTTATTTAGATACCCTTTGTCAGCATAGTGTTGAGATGATGAAAATTTTCTTTAAAAACACTGAACTCAAATGGTTTAACTATAAGTTATGATGAAATATGTACATTTATAATTGACCGATTAGAAGTGTTAAACTTTAGATTTGTTTTATGACATTTATAAGTGACAAAAACTCTGAAATATTATGCAACCTAACTCTTTTCATAAGGTCTTTTCTTAAAAATAGATAATATTAAGGAACCAAGAACCAAAAAGAAAATAATTATTAGGTCCTCCGACCGGACGTAGAGGAACGTCCGGTCGGCACTAAAATCCCGCCAAAAAACTCGATATTTGCTCGGTATTGCTAGGTATTATTTGGTAATAACGAGGAATACTGCTCTGTGAAGACCAATACCGAGCTATACCGAGCAATACCGAGCAATACCGAGTTATACAAAAAAATACCGGTATAACTCGGTATTGGGTCTTCACATGATGGTATTCCTCGTTATTGTTTGGTATTGCTCGGTATTTGCTCGGTATTTCTCGTTTTTTGGCCTGATTTTAGCTCCGACCAGACGTAGCTCTACGTCCGGTCGGAGGACCTAATAATTGTTCCAATTTGAATATACATCGTAAGAATAATTTCAATAGATAATTCATCAAGAGCTATATCTTATATGTTCATTTGATTGATCAACTACTTCTTATATAATTGGTTTAGTTTCACATTCAAAAATAGTTTCTATCTCCATTAGAAAGTCAGTTCTGGATAAAGATCTCATGTTCAATTTTGATGCAATATTGTATAGCAGCACCCTTGCATCAATTTTCCGTTTGTTCTATTTTTGTTTTGTTTTAGTATTGTTACGATTCCTCTTTTACACCTATGCGAGCTAGGGGTGTCTAAACGAGTCAATCGGTCGGATTCGGGTCTAACTCAAATTGGTCGGGGTCCAAACGGTTTGATCCTAACCCGACCCCATTTTGTAAATGGGTTAGAAATTCCAACCTGGACCCGACCCGCACGGGTTGTCGGGTTGACCCGACTTGACCTGCGAACCCAGACTACTAGCAGCAGGTGAAGTGTACGCGGTGCAAAGCGTTGTGAGCAGGCAAAACCAATGCAGACGAAGCAGGTGCAGTATGTGCGAAGTGTGGGCATGACTCACTACATGAGCGTGATAGAGTGTTGTGGGTAGGTGGGCAAAGTGGCTGCATTATCGCAGGTGAAGCTGGTGCGGTGTGGAGCGACCAACAGGTACGAGCGCAGGATCGAAGTCTGAGCGCGACAAGCGGGATTAAGCCCGGACGAATGAAGCATCCAGCGGGTGCGGGGTCTGTGGATGCAACAGAGCCGAGATTGAGCACGATAGACGTGCAGAGCTGAGATCGCGAACAAACGCGAGCTTGGGATCACGTGCAGGCTAGGGTTAACGTGCCATTTCGGGTTGATTTCGGATTTCCGGGTCAACCCAAACCCGACCCGGTTTTAGAAATCGGTAGGAATCGCGAACCCGAATCCAACCCATTTGGCGAATGTGATGACCCAAATCCAGAATTTTATGGGTCGGGTTTCAGGTCGGGTCAAGTTTTAACACCCCTAATGTGGGCTTTGTCAATGGTATGACATATTGTTGTGATTATTTCTTGGTTATGTTTTTCTTTAAGCCAGGATGTTTTGGGTTGTATGTAATGCTATGATGGGGATTTACAAGCTTCTCTCTTTTGTCTTAGATGGGAATTATTAATAAAATCAAAATTGAATATTATAAATATTCGGAATAAAATTACGCAGAGCTTGAGCTAACCATACTTTGTAACCTAAAGATGATGAGTCTATAAGACTAAAATTTCTTTTTAGTTTTCAATTTTGCTTATGTAAGCTGGATATGTGATTCCCTTGACTTTGGTACAAATGCATTTATATAATTCTAGGTGAAGCATCCCATTATATTATTAGTTTTTTTAATATGATAAATTTTTTCTGAATTTCTTCTAACCATTTAATTATTCGGTTGTTAGCGTTCTTTGTTTTATTCAGATTTGAATTTGTAGTTCTCTTGAATAAATTCTAGTGCTAATTTCTTTGGATTTATTCAATTATTGCATTATCAATTTGGCTCTAAATCTCTGTTTTAGGTTTGAATAAGTTGTATGTATTTAATTGTCAACAATCTACAATTACTATGTTCCCTTATGTGCGCGACATATATTTCATCATCCTAATTGCATCAGGAAATCTTCATCTTAATCATCTTGCATCGGATTTTTAATCAGAACCAATGATTATAGTCATTCCAACTACATGTATGACGCACCAATTGGTTCAATAAACGAGTTGCTTTATTTTTTTGTAGAAACCTTAAAGGGGCTTACGCATTCCATCAAAAGAAATATTACAGGTCCTTAAAGAATCAGAAGCTCTCTAAAATACAATCTTTGAAATGAAATCTATGAGCTAATGATCCTAACTAATACAAAATATTATACAATAAAAAAGGAATTGCCAACATGATCCAAAGACAGCCATCCAAGAGGACGAAACAGCAAGTAGCACAGCAACAAGAACCCTTCAAACAACCTACAAATAAAGGCAAATAGAGACAGACACAAAAATTAGGCTATACAAGAAGTCCACCAATCCAAGATGTTGCCACGATAGAGCCGCTTTAAGAAGCAATAAAGCCGCTTTAGGATGATTTTTTTACTATTTCTTAAAGCGGTTTTCTAATACAAATCATTAGAATATCTTGACATAAATTTTTTTCTAATCTAATGAATTCCTTTTCATCACCCTAAACAATTATTTGATATATTTATTAACTTGACTTTATAACCTAAAAATAACCTATTGACCCAATAAGCACACATCTAATTTTAATTTTATAATTGCAAAATATGGCCTTTTTTTATTATTATTCAGTATTGACTTATATTTTTCTTTATTGCTGCAGGTTATATAGACATAGGGCTATTGTTAAATGTGCAGCCAAGGCTGCTCATGCCTCCACCAAGTTAGTCATGAAAGCTCTCTGAACTTGTAAAATTTCCTTCAGATTTAGCAAAACTTGTATATACATATATTGTTATTTGAATATCAGTTTTTTAAACTATTTTACACTTTCTTTTAATATAATCATTTATGATAAAAGTTTATATCTCCAATTATCAGTAAACTTGAAATTATGTTGTAGAAATAGGTTATGATATAAAATAAAATTTAACATTTTATATTAATATTTATTTTTAAAAATTTGAAGCAAATTTAAGTTGGTGTCGACATTTTGAATTATAATTTATTAATAAAGTGATATATTTTTTTATTTATCTGCATTTACTTAAAGATATACAATTATATATTAATTGGCAATAGGTTGTGCACATGAAGCAACATATTGTGTTTGATGAGAACATTTTGTTCACTTATGATTTTTTTTTTTTTTTGGACATTTAGGCCATTTAAGGCAAACTCACACACACAAAGCATACATTTAGATGAGCTCCAATAACGAAGAGGAGGAGGATATGTGTGACGAGCAATTTTTAATACTAAGCATGATTAGAAACTTAATTAGCACATTAAGTGTGATTTCTTAAAAATTTAAAAGTAGGTATAATTGCTTGTTTAACAGACAATTAAGATTTATGATATAATCATCTATTTGACGGGCAATTTATTAAAAGAACCAAATCGCTCGTTTGACGGGCGATTTTGTCCTATTTAAAATCACTGATCGAAGCCCTAGTCTTGAACACGTGCCTGTTTGCCTTCTTCGCTCCAGTCATCATTCCTTCACTCCGCCGGATTTGCTGTTTAAGGTAAGTTTTGTGGTTTTTATATAAATTTTGTATTATCTTATGCCTTTCCTACATAGAAGGTAGAATAAGAAAAAAAAAAAAATGCACCATTTAAAATTGTAGAATGAGGTGGTTTTAGGTGATGTCTATATTTTATGTGTTTTTTGTAGAAATCTATGAATAAATCATGCAAAAAGCAAATGATTCATGAATATTATATATATTTTTAAGTTTGTTAATGGGGGATCCAATAAATCTAAGTGAATTTATGGAGTATATGAAGCTACTAAAATATCATTTAAAATGATGTTATTAACTTCAATAAAATTTGGATGTAGGCACCTACAATTTGAGATAATTATCTCCTACAAGTTCATTAGTATGTAAGTTTAGAAGTTTTATAATTCCTTAATATTATCAAATAATTCAAAATTAGACTAATAAGCATATTAAAAGAATTGTTTCAATTGTTTCTTATGAAAGAAGACTAATAAATGACATATTTTAATTATTTAAATAAATAATTAATAGGCATTTTAAAACTTTTAACAAATTAAAAACAAATAACATTTGAACATATTTAAATTTATAAATATTTTTTTATTACGTTTAAAACCTATATCTATACGCTTCTTCAGCTCTTAATAGAGTTTCAATTTCAAGGCCCCATTATGGTCGATTTCTTTAAAGTAGGTTAAGGTCTATAATTTAATGGTATATTAAATCACTACCATATATTTAGAAGTGAGAGATATGAGCAATATATTGAAAATAGATGAGTATTAAAGAACAATAAATTATGTATTAACTCTTCATATCTATTACTTAACTATTCTTAAACACTCATTAATATAATTCTAATATATCATTACATTTCATTATGTTTAGTCGCTTAGTGTTGGTAAGTGTAATTTTCCTTTTTTATATTTAGTGTCTTTTTTTAATAAATTTAATACATAATTAGAATATTATGAAGTTGATGATTGTCTCGATGGAATAAATATATCGTTTCAAATATATTATAAATGTAGATATTCAAAATGAGCACACGCTCACCATCTTTTTTGTTATTATATGACGAAGAGTTATCCTTAGATGATAATTTTTCGTCAACATATATTGGTGGTAAATGTCAGCCCTACAAGTTTCATTCAAATCGACTTTGAAGCAGTTAAAGGATAGGGATCTTAGGGCGCTGAAGTTCGATCCCTAAAAACTCGTGGCGACTAATGTTGGTCGTTTTCTAGTGGGTAAAAAAAATTCATGGCCTCGAAGGTTGAGGACGATGAAGGTTTTGAATTTGAATTGTAATTGGCTAGTTCTGATGATCTATCTGATTATGTATGTGATGGTTGAGGAATTTTCGAATGATATTAATTTGGATGAAGATCTGTCGACTCAAATATGCGATCCAGTCGTACTCGATCATGTACATGAGATGCATGATGCTGTTGAGATGGTCTTCGCAATGCCTAATGCACATCTTGGGTATGTTAGTTATGCATGAAATTATAATATTTTTTAAAGTAAGTTCTTATTCATTGTTTCTAATATTACATAAGTATAAATACATATCCACACCAATCTCCTACCAAAAGGAAATACCTGGTCCTTCTACACAATCCCAGCCTACTTATATTTTTGAAGTTAATGATATTAGATTATATGCTCCTACTACTAATGATGAAGGGTATAAGATAATGAGCAGTGGTTCAAGTGATGATGGGGATGAAGAGTTTGATGATATCCTCCATGATCCTGCTATTACCAATGTTGGTGTTCAGCCAAATACCAATGATATTATTCGTGATTACTGTATAAGGACTGAAAATACAGAAGAGGACATGGCATCTAATAATGAATATACTAAGATTCCCAAAACTACACTTCAATGGAATGCATACGTTGTACATGATAATAGTAATGTTTTTAGCATTACAGATGATGAATTTATCATTCTGAATGAATTGGTAGAGCATATGTGTTTCCGTCGAAAATCTGAACTGAAGTTTACCTTGCATGGTTGGTCAATTATAAATAATGTTCAATTTATCATGGTGGCTTCAAACAAACAAAAATTTATAGTTGCTTGTATACAACATGATAATTTGCTGGTAAAGTGTCCTTGGCATTTACATGCTAGCCCAATCAAGCGATTGGGTGGGGTATGGAAGATAGCTACCATAAAAGGTCTACATATGTGCACAAACCCTATTCTTCAAGCAGGTAACATGCAATATAATTCACAGTTCATTAGCTTTTTTATTATTCCAACTATAAGGAAATAAATGGATATTAAACCTAGAGAAATAATTAGAAGAATTGAGGAAAAGTTTAATTTTCCTTTTTTATATTTAGTGTCTTTTTTTAATAAATTTAATACATAATTAGAATATTATGAAGTTGATGATTGTCTCAATGGAATAAATATATCGTTTCAAATATATTATAAATGTAGATATTCAAAATGAGCACACGCTCACCATCTTTTTTGTTATTATATGACGAAGAGTTATCCTTAGATGATAATTTTTCGCCAACATGTATTGGTGGTAAATTTCGGCCCTTGCAAGTTCCATTCAAATCGACTTTGAAGCAGTTAAAGGATAGGGTTCTTAGGGCGCTGAAGTTCGATCCCTAAAAATTCGTGGCGACTAATGTTGGTCGTTTTCTAGTGGGTAACAAATTCATGGCCTCAAAGGTTAAGGACGATGAAGGTTTTGAATTTGAATTGTCATTGGCTGGTTCTGATGATCTATCTGATTATGTATGTGGAGGTTGAAGAAATTTCGAATGATATTAATTTGGATGAAGATCTGTCGACTCAAATATGTGATCCAATCGTACTCGATCATGTACATGAGATGCATGATGCTGCTGAGATGGCCTTCGCAATGCCTAATGCACATCTTGGGTATGTTAGTTGTGAATGAAATTATAATATTTTTTAAAGTAAGTTCTTATTCATTTTTTCTAATATTACATAGTATAAATACATATCCACACCAATCTCCTACCAAAAGGAAATACCTGGTCCTTCTACACAATCCTAGCTTACTTCTATTTTTGAAGTCAATGATATTAGATTATCTGCTCCTACTACTAATGATGAAGGGTATGAGACAATAAGCAGTGGTTCAAGTGATGATGGAGATGAAGAGTTTGATGATATCCTCCATGATCCTGCTATTACGAATGTTGGTGTTCAGCCAAATACCAATTATATTGCTCATGATTACTATATAAGGACTAAAAATACATAAGAGGACATGACATCTAATAATGTGTATACTAAGATTCCCAAGACTACACTTCAGTGGAATGCATATGTTGCACGTGATAATAGTACTGTTTTTAGCATTACGGATGATGAATTTATCATTCTGAATGAATTGGTAGACCATATATGTTTCCGCCAAAAATATGAACTGTAGTTTACCTTGCACGGTTGGTCAGTTATAAATAATGTTCAATTTATCACGGTGGCTTCAAACAAACAAAAATTTACAGTTGCTTGTATACAACATGATAATGTGCCGGTAAAGTGTTCTTAGCTTTTACATGCTAGCCTAATCAAGCGATTGGGTGGGGTATGGAAGATAGCTATCATAAAAGGTCTACATACATGCATAAATCCTATGTTTCAAATAGGTAACATGCAATATAATTCACAGTTCATTAGCTTCTTTATTATTCCAACTATAAGGAAATAAATGGATATTAAACCTAAAGAAATAATTAGAATATTTGTGGTGAAGTTTAACATCAAAGTTTTATACATGAAAGCATGGGATGCACGTCGAAAGGCTAAACAGTGTTTGGCAGTTTGGAAGAGTCTTATCGATCACTGAATTTGTTCATGGAAGATATGGTTCAAGCTATGCCCATAATTGTGTACAAAATCCAATCATCTAGTTCATATAGATTTTAAAGGTTATTTTGGCTTTCGGGTCATCTATCACTGGTTTGAGGTTTTGTCGGCCCATCCTCAGCCTAGATGAGACTTTTCTATTGGGTAAGTAAGAAGTCCTATCTTAATCAATGTTTTTCAGTATTAGTAATCCATATCATTAACTCGTTGTCTTAGTAAACAGAGTTGACATTTTTTTTGCCCGTCTTCATAGTAATTAATCCTTATAACTCCCAACCGTTATATCATTGTAACATTGTATAGTTGTACAGGATAACACAAAACTATAATATTTAAAGGAAAGTCCATCAGCCCACCATCCTACACAGGTTAGTTAGTCTCCTTCCAACATCAGTATATTTATCAGTTGGGAAAAAGTAGATGTGTAGGCCAACATGATTTTTGAGTTTCTATTCTTGGAATTGAATATGACTTTGTAAATA